TTTTTTTTTTTTTTTTTCTTTTTCTTTTTTCTGGTCCCTGCAGCCAGAGGAGGAGATGCTGAGTGACCGGCGCTAGGAAATGCCCTGAGAACCTAGTTGGAAGCCACACCAGCGAGGGCGAGGGGCGGGGGGAGAGAAGGACACGAACTGGACTGGAAGGGGCTCCTACTAAGACTGAAATGGATTTGCACGTTCGGGAGAAGGTGGCGGCGACTTCTGGGCCTCCACCTTCTGCAGATATGAAATCAGTGAGCTGAGACTTCGCAGGCCCGCAGGCGTGGAGGAGAGGAGACTGTTTGATGTGGTACCGGGGCAGTGGAGGGCGAGTGGTTTCGGGGGAAAAAAAAAAAAAAAGATTTTTTTCTTCTCTTAATCGGAATCGTGATGGTGTTGGATTATTTCACTGGTGGGGTTAATATAGCATGTTATCCTGTCTATCTTTTAAAGATTTCTGTATAAGACTGTTGAGCAGTTTTTAAAATAGTGTAGGATAATATAAAAAGCAGATAGATGGCGCTATGTTTGATTCCTACAACGAAATTATCACCAGCTTTTTTTCATTCTTAACTCTTTAAAGGATTCAAACGCAACTCAAATCTGTGCTGGACTTTGAAAAACAATTCAGGACCAAATTTTTTCTCAGTGTGTATGTGTTTCTTCCTTATAGATGTAAATGAGAAGACGTGTTATTTTCCCTCACCGATGCTCCATCCTCGTATTATTTTTCCTTGTAAATGTAATCAGATGCCATTTTATATGTGGACGTATTTATACTGGCCAAACTTTTTTTTTATTATTTTGTCCCTTTCTTTTTCTTAACTTTCTTTTGCTATTTTTTCTTTCTTTCTACTTCCTTTCTTTCTTCCTTCCTGCTTTTCTTTTCTTTTTCTTTCTTTTTTTTTTTTTTTTTTGGTAGTTGTTGTTACCCACGCCATTTTACGTCTCCTTCACTGAAGGGCTAGAGTTTTAACTTTTAATTTTTTATATTTAAATGTAGACTTTTGACACTTTTAAAAAACAAAAAAAGACAAGAGAGATGAAAACGTTTGATTATTTTCTCAGTGTATTTTTGTAAAAAATATATAAAGGGGGTGTTAATCGGTGTAAATCGCTGTTTGGATTTCCTGATTTTTATAATAGGGTGGCTGGTTAATATCTCACAGTTTAAAAAATCAGCCCCTAATTTCTCCATGTTTACACTTCAATCTGCAGGCTTCTTAAAGTGACAGTATCCCTTAATCTGCCACCAGTGTCCACCCTTTGACCCCAGTCTTATAAAAAGGGGAGGGAATTAGCCAAACACTGTATGCTTTTAAGACAAACAAATTTTTTAAACAAAATACTATTCTGTCCAGAGGCTTTAAAACTGGTGCATTTACAGCAAAAAGGGATCCTGTAGCTTTAATTTGTAAACCACATCTTTTTTGCACTTTTTTTATAAGCAAAAACGTGCCGTTTAAACCACTGGATCTATCTAAATGCCGATTTGAGTTCGCGACACTATGTACTGCGTTTTTCATTCTTGTATTTGACTATTTAATCCTTTCTACTTGTCGCTAAATATAATTGTTTTAGTCTTATGGCATGACGATAGCATATGTGTTCAGGTTTATAGCTGTTGTGTTTAAAGATTGAAAAAAGTGGAAAACATCTTTGTACATTTAAGTCTGTATTATAATAAGCAAAAAGATTGTGTGTATGTATGTTTAATATAACATGACAGGCACTAGGACGTCTGCCTTTTAAGGCAGTTCCGTTAAGGGTTTTTGTTTTTAAACTTTTTTTTTTGCCATCCATCCTGTGCAATATGCCGTGTAGAATATTTGTCTTAAAATTCAAGGCCACAAAAACAATGTTTGGGGGAAAAAAAAGAAAAAATCATGCCAGCTAATCATGTCAAGTTCACTGCCTGTCAGATTGTTGATATATACCTTCTGTAAATAACTTTTTTTGAGAAGGAAATAAAATCAGCTGGAACTGAACCCTAAATCTTGACTTTTGTCATTATTATGCCCAATGCCTGAGATTGGGAGGGCCCTACAGTGTGTAGAAACTACACCATCTGCCTTAGCTTTGAGACAAGTCAGTTCTCAGAGAGGAGCCTGTTACATGCCATCTTCTTGAGGAATACTAAGTTCCTCTAGGCCAGATTTGGCAGGCCCTGACCCTGAAATGATGGCGTCAGCTGAATATGTGTCAACTCGACACGCTTTCTAGGAATTTTCTGAGTTTACCATATTTAAATAAACGTTCTTTGTCTTGGATTTTTTAAAAGAGGAGGAGGGGCAACGTGCGCAGAATTCTTTGCAGATGAAACTGGCTGGCTGATCTTTTTTTTAACTTTATGTTCCTTAAGCTGCTTCCTCTTTGACTTGCCCATAGTTACCATCCAGCAGTGCCTAGAATTGTTTTCCACAGATTAAGAACAAATAAGCCTGTGAAATTATCAATATATCGTGGAGGAGAAGGCTGTTACCAACTATGAGATGTAAAAGTTGGATAAATTTTTTCCTCAAAAGCGAAAGGTTCACGTGGTGCTAAAATCTCAGTTTTGTGCCATGCCCAACATGGTTATTCACGTAAGGGAAATGTTAACAATAGGGATGGCCTGGAGAAGTTGCCCCCAGAAGCACATATTCAGCTGGTGGAGATTTATACTGTTTGTAAGCATCAGACACAGCAGTATTATTGAGACATGTATGCAAGGAGAAAAGATACCTTGGATTTCCTAAGGCCCATTAGTATTTGGTTTGGAGCCTACAACTTAACTAAGTAGCGCTATTTCCTGTTTATTTTGAGGGTTAACAATTGCCATTAACTAACAAAACCCATCTTCACTTTCCAAATGTTTGTTAATTAAAAATATGCTTTATATGTCTTCTAGATGTTCAGCACTGGAGAGGAGGGCTTAATAAACAGAAGTGTTTGGAAATAACCCTTTAGTCATGGAGATTGCTTGTAGGTAAGGGATTATGCTTCATCTTGAAATCTACAGCTGGAAGAGATTTTTGGAGCCTATGGTCCAAAACAAGCAATTTTTTTGTTCAATGAAAAGCAATAATTCCCCCTTCAAAATAATATAACTGGTGTTTCAATATAGTTTCATCTTTTAAAGATCATTATAGCTACTAATATCCAAATTTTTCCTTCATGTGTTCTGCTAATATATTTAGTTTTAATTGCATTTATGTTCTACAATTGTAATATCTCAGTTTTTAAAAAGATCTTAACATGGCATCTTAAGTCTCCTCAAAACCCTTTGCAAAAAGAGAAAGATCTCTACTGTAAAGTGTTTAAATTTAATTTTTGTTCATTGTAGTGATAATCATGATTGTTTAGTTTTTTCAGATCCAAAGTATCAACACTTTGACATAAATGAAGCCTATATAATGCATTTTTTAAAATTTATTTTGTAAGGTTCTCCTGTTAAAACTATGTTTATTTTCCCTTGATTTTCCATGTAAGGGCGGATGCTTTAAATATTTTCTTTAAGAATTTTGATAACATTGCTTTAAAAATAAAAGCTTAATGTGTGTCTCCTTCCTAGTAAGTGAAAGAGTAAATGTAAATTTTTGTACTTTCCTTTGAATCAATTTTCATTCATAAGGAATACTTATGTGTTAGGTGGTACAAGGCATAATAAATCTGAGAAACCAAACAGTTTAGTATGACTTTTTCTTTCAGATAATGTGGATCAATCGAAAAGAATAAATTTCAGATTTTCTTTTAAGAATATCAAGCCATTTTTCTTTCAAGACACTGCTTCAGGCCCTGTACTCCATCAGAAATGTGTATCAGTAATACTTGCTTAAGCAAGTTTTGTTAATTCCTAGTTGAATACCTGTAGCCCCCCAAAAAATAAAGAGCATGTAAGCTGATATGGTGAGCTGCCTAAAAGGGCTTCCTGGATTTGTGCTCACCCTGCTGTGGGGTGCAGGGGTGCTGGAGGCATTAAGGGATTCTGAGGAAAGGGAGAAAGCAAAGGGTTGAGAAGGAGTCATCAGCATTTACCAAGTACTTCCTGTGTTCAGAGGGTACCCATGAATTAGAAAACATGGATTGGGGAATGCTGGGGGTCAGAATGTTTAATCATAAATTTAAAACAATTTAAGGATCCCGAGGAGGCATTTAGAAAGATCCATATGTCCAGAAAAACTAAGAATTCTGCTAGGAATACAAATCCATCTTACTCACTTGGATTTATCAAGGTGGAAGGTTGGTATGCTTTATTTTTCTTTCTGGTGGTTTTTTGTATTATGCCTTTTTTTTTTCCTCCTTTGAGGCCTAAACAATACCTCTCTACTCATCGTTTACCCCTACCCCTGCATTCATCCTGGAAAAGCATCTCCATAGACGTTTCCAGATCTT